GACCGCGTCTTCTCGTCCTCGCCAGGAGGTCGCCTCGGGCCGCCGCGCGCGGCTCCTGGGGGGCGGCTGGTGCGACCAGGGCGCGCTGGCGCGCCTCGACGACGACCCGCCGGAGGCGCGCGCGTGGCCCGAGGGCGTGGCGACGCCGCGCTGCTCGCTCGAGGACGACGGCGCGTCGGCCGTGGGCTGGTTCGCCGACGGCGACGGCCGCGCCGTCTTCGTCGCCGAGCGCCTCGACGGCGGCCGGCTCAAGCTCATCGACGGCTCCGAGGTCGACGCCGCGGCGCTCGCGCCCGTGGCCGCGCTCCGGAGGACGGCCTCCATCAAGGCCTTCGACGCCGTGCGCTGCGTCGCGCCGGGCGAGCGGACCGGGAGGGCGTAACCGTCTTCACGTCCGGGGCCTCGGCGGCGGCGTCCGGCAAGTCCGGCGGAGGCCTCGGAGCCTCGGCGGCGTCGCGACCCCCGGACCGCGGTCGGCGGCGCGGCCCGGCTCACAGCTCCGCGCCGCGCCCAAGCATGGCGCCCGCGAGCGTGGTCGTGCCGCCGCTCGGCGACGACGTCGAGGCGACGATGAGCGAGGTGCTGCCGAGCGCCGACCCGCTCGACGCGACGGACTTTGACGTCGTCGACTATTTGAACGCCCAGTTCCCGAGCGAGCGGTCCATCCCGCGCCTCGACCCCTTCATCAAGGACGTGACGCTGCAGATCGCGAGCCTCGACGACGAGATCTCGCGGGCCGTCCACGCGCAGGCCGAGGCCGGCGCGCGCGCGGCGCGCGACATCGCGGACGCGCGCGCGGCGATGGCCGAGCTCGAGGGCAAGGTCGGCCTCATCCGGAGCAAGGCCGAGGAGTCCGAGGCCATCGTCGCCGACATCTGCAAGGACATCAAGCGCCTCGACCGCGCGAAGCGGAACCTGCAGTCGACGATCACGGCGCTGAAGCGCATGCACATGCTCACGTCCGCGGTCGACCAGTTGAGATTAGCAGCGGGCGACGGCCGCTACGGCGAGTCGGCGACGCTCCTCGAGGCCGTCGGCCATTTGCTCGAGTACTTCGCGCCCTACGGCGACGTGCCGCGCATCGCCGATTTGAACGGCGAGGTCGCGGCGATCCGGGCGTCGCTCGAGACGGAGGTCCGCGGCGCGTTCGAGAAAGCTTCCCTCCTCTCGGAGACGAGCACGCTCGGCGACGCCGGCGAGCTCGACACGATCCGCGAGGCGTGCCTCGTGGTGGACGCCCTTGGCGGCGCCGCGCGCGACGACCAGGTCAAGGCGTTCGTCGACCGGCAACTGGCGCCCTACGGCGACCTGTTTCCCCGGGGCGGCGACGCGAGCCGCCTCGACGACGCGGAGCGGCGCTTCGCGTGGATCCGGCGGGTCCTGCGGTCCCTGGAGCAGACCTACGGCGCGTCGCTGCCGCGGCACTGGCAGGTCGAGCGGCGGCTCGTGCTCGGCTTCGTCGCGGCGACGCGGGAGATGTTCCTCGAGATTCTGTCGTCGGGCGGCGAGGAGACGCGCGCCGTCGCCGTCGTGCTCAAGGCGCTCCAGAAGTCCCTCGTGTTTGAGAAGGAGGCCCAGGCGCGCTTCGACGAGCGCGGCCGCGCGGTCGACGAACACGCGTACGAGTCCTGGCCCGCGGGGAAGGCCGTCGCGGAGACGGCCGTCGCGGGCGCGCTGAGCGGCGTCTTCGACCCCTTCATGGACCCCTACGTCCAGCTCGAAAAGTCGAACATGGACGACATGATGGCCAAGGTCACGGCCGAGGAGGCCGTGGACCGCGACGGCGCGCTGCCCGTGCTCTCGTCGTCGGTCCACATGTTCGCGTACGTGAAGACGTCCGTGCGGCGCTGCACGGCGCTGACGACGGGCCAGACCTTCTTCAAGCTCTACGGGGCCTTCTGCGAGTGCCTGCGGGGCTACGCCGCGCGGCTCTCCGGTCTGGTGGAGATCGAGGACGCGGGGAAGTCGCCGACGGCGGCCAAGGCGGAGACCAAGGGCGCGCGCTTGATGCGCGAGTTTCGGGGCGCGCGCGGCTCGAGCCCGGAGCCCGGCGCGGAGACCGACGGGGCGGCGTCGGGCATCATCCGGGACTGCGAGGCCGCGTGCTACGCGCTGAACACGGCCGAGTACTGCGCGGAGACCGTCGGCCAGCTCGGCGACATCGTCCGGGGCAAGATCGACGCGCCCTACGCGGACCGCGTCGACCTGGAGCCCGTCGCCGACGCGTTCCACGACGTCATCGCCAAGGCCGTGACGCGGCTCGTGGCGTCGCTGGAGCGCGCGTTGGAGCCCGCGCTCCGCGGCTTCTCGGCGATCGCCTGGGGCGCCGTCGAGGAGGTCGACGAGGAGTCGCCCTACGTGCGGCTCCTCGCGAACGGCGTGCGGAGCGTCGTGCCGCTCGTGCGCGGCCTGCTCGGCCGCCTCTACTTCCGCAACTTCTGCGACAAGTTCGTCGCGTCGTTCCTGCCGACGTTCCACGACCGCGTGCGCGGCGCGAAGAAGATCTCGGAGATGGGCACGCACCAGCTGCTGCTCGACCTGCACTCCGTCAAGCCCGCGCTCCTCCAGCTGCCGAACGCGCGGAAGCTGCCCGAGGACGGCGGCGACGACAAGGCCGGCGGCGACGACGGCGGCGCGCCGCCGCCGCCGGCCTACGTCAAGTTCGTCACGGCGCGGCTCGGCGACGTCGAGCGGCTGCTGAAGCTCGTGGGCACGCCCGACGACATGCTCGTGGAGCGCTTCAAGATCATGTGGCCCGACGGCACCGCCGACGACCTCGCGGCGGTCATGGCGCTCAAGGACGTCAAGAAGGCGGACCGGGACCACCTCATGGGCACCTTCGGCGCCGCGCCGGGCGCCGAGGCGGCGAAGCGCGCGAAGACGCCGCCGCCGGCCAAGGCGGCCGCGTCGTCGAGCCCGCCGCCGACCGCGGGCACGACCATGGACCGCCTCGGCACGAAGATGCGCGAGGGGTTCTCGAAGGGGCTGTTCTAACGAGGGCGGCGCGAAGAGCGGGGGCGGGGGGGCGCGGACGTGCGGGGGACTTGGGTGGACTTTGGGGGCCGCGGGGGCGGTCGCCGGCGAGCGCCTTAGCCGAAGCTGACGCTCGAGAAGCCGCCCGGCGGCGCGAGGACGCGGCTGCTGTTGCGGTCGCCGATGTGGTTGCCCACGTTCTGGGAGCCGTTGCCGTTGGCGCCGCCGTAGGACGACCCGCCGCCGCGGGGGCCGTTCTGGCCGCCGCCGCGGGCCTGGTTCGCGCGGACCGCGTAGGCGCGCTGGGCCGCGCCGAGGCCCTGGGCGGCGTCGGGCATGTCGTAGGCCATGGGCGGCGCCCGGGGCTCCTGCTGGTGGAGCTCGACGCGGCGCTCGCCGTTGATGACGTCGTAGCCCCCGTCGCGCGCGGGCGGGCCCCGCTTGCCGCGCGGCGTCGGCTCTTCGGGCTCGCTGCCGCCGGAGAAGAAGTTGGGGCGGCAGCGGCCCTGGTTGCGCATCGCGTTCATCTGGGCCATCTTCTGCGGCGACGGGCCCGGCGCGGGCGGATCCTCCGCGGGCGCGTAGCCGCCGTCCGCCGTCCGGCGGACGACGCCGGAGGTCTTGCCGCGGTGCTGGACGTAGGCCGCCAGCGCGCTGTCGCCGTCGGGCGGGGCGTGGTCCGCGAAGGGCGCCGCGCGGCTCGCGGGCGCCATCTGGCGCTTGCCCGTCTTCGGCGTCGCCGCGGGCGACGGGCCCGCGGACTCGTCGCCGCCCCAGATGTTGTTCACGGCGCGGGGCGCCGCGGCCGGCGGCAGGTTCTCCATCTCGAAGCGCCGCGCCGCCGCGCGCTCGCGCTGCTCGAGCATCTTGCGTTCGCGCAGAGTCGACATGGCGCGCGAATTAGCCTTCGACTGTCGGCAGCCGCGGGCAAGCCAACCGCTTCCCATGGGGCTGCAGGATCGGCTTCGATGTGGAGCAGCGCAAACTTCTTGGCGAGTGGCGAGCTGTGGCAATACAGGTCGGTAGCTCTAGATGGGCTGATTAAAGCTGGGCTTCGTGGTCTAGGCTTGGCGCGAACATCATGGGCCGCCGCGACAAGCAGACCGGCGGCGGAGAGCCGCTCGCCCGCGTCCAGTGCGAGGCGCCGGCGGCGGCGCCGGAGCGCGACGCGGACTACAACCTGTGGTGGGGCGAGTCGCGCCAAACAAAGAAGCGCAAGCGCGAGGAGCGGCGCAACGCGCCGAGCGCGACGCGCTGCGACCCGGCGCGCGACTCGGGGCGGACCAAGGGCGGCGCGGGCGCCGACGCGTGCCTCTTCTTCGCCCGGGGCTGCTGCCACCTCGGCTGGCGCTGCGACCGCCGGCACCGCGCGCCCGCCGCGTCCGACCCCGAGCCGTCGAACGAGCTCGACGTCTTCGGCCGGCCGCGCGACGGCGACGACGGCGACGGCACGCGGTCCTTCGGGCAGCGGAACAGCGTGACGCGCGCGTGCCGCACGCTCTGGCTCGGCCACTGCTCCGCGCCCGAGGCCGCCGTCCGCGCGGCGTTCGCGGCCTTCGGCGCCGTGGAGCGCGCGCGCGCCGTGCCGGCGAAGACCTGCGTCTTCGCCGGCCGTCCTCGCCGCGGACCCCCGCGTCGTCCCGGACGCGGCCCCGGACGCTCCGCCGCCGCCGCTCGCGGACGGCTGGAGCCCGGCCTTCGACGCGGCTTCGGGCCAGACCTACTACTACCGCGCCGACGGCGCCGTCACCTGGGACCGCGCCGTCGCGACGTCCGTCGCCGCCGCGGTCGCCGCGACCGCCGCCGCGCCGCCGCCGGCCGTCGCGTCGCTCGTCGCCGCCTACAGCAGCTCCGACGACGAGTCGTAACGGCACTGAGCTACGCGGCTTTCTTCAGGGCGCGGATGTTCGGCATTCGCGAGGTGCGCAGGGCGCGGCTGAAGCGGAGCGGCTCCTCGAGCCCGAGCAGGATCTCCGCGTGCGCGGGCCAGAGAATTTCGCCGGCGACCTCGTCATTCGCCAAATACCGGGCCTCCTTCTTCGCCTCGCTTTCGGCGAAGAGGCGCATGCACCGGACCTCGCTCAGGATCCCGGCCTCGAACTCGGCGCGCGCGCGGCTCTTCGGAGGGAACGCGCTCGCCTCCGCGAAGCGCTCCTTGGCGAAGCGGTAGACGCGCTCCGCGGCCTCGCCGAACGCGTGGTAGCCCGCGATGGAGAGGTGGCCGGACAGGAGGAGCGCCTCGTCGTAGTCCGCGAACTCGTGCAGCTGGGCGGCGACCTCACGCCCCACGCTCTCCGGGATCGGGCGCGCGTTGCTGGGATCCATGGTCTCGCAGATCACCAAGATGGCCTCGTCGAGGGAGCAGCGGTCGTAGGACAGCATGCGGTCGACCATGCCTCCTTTGCTGAGCCGCAGGAGCGCCGCGACATCCTCCACAGACATGCCCTGCGGTTCGTCGTCGGAATCGTAGAGCGACGGGCGGCGCAGCCCCGGACCATCAGAGCCCAGCGCGCCGACCGCCGCCGTGATCTTATCCGAGAGAGAGAGGCGTTTGCGGGCCGCGCGCTTCCCCATTCGCAGCTCGGCACGAGGGGCCTGGACGAGGCGCGCTTCGAGCTCGAGTCTCGGATCTACGATCGGCAGGCCACTTCAATAATGCATGATTGATTTGTTGACCAATTCATTGAAGGGACGCGCATTAGTTGCCTTTTTTTATTGGCTCTCGCGGGCAGCCCGAACACCGCCGCACGCTCCGGTGCTCCGCGGCCATCCCCGAACACCGTCTCACGATGGCCGACTTCAGCAAGGAGGACCTCATGATGCTCCACTTCTACTGGCAGAGCGAGGACGGCTCGCAGCAGGGGCCCAGCGACGTCGCGGAGCTGAAGCGCGCCTGGAAATCCAAGCAGCTCCACAAGGACTGCCACGTCTACGGCGACGACGGCTTCGACGACTGGATGACCATCGCCGACCTGCCGATCCTCAAGAAACTGATCGCGCCGCCGCCGCCGCCGCCGCGGCGGAAGAAGGCGCCGGCGGCCCCCGCGCCGCCGCCGCCGCCGCCCGAGAAAGACTCCGGGCTGCCCGCCGCGAAGCCCGGGCCCAGGGCGAAGCGGCGGCCGTCGTCGACGTCGACGCGGACGCTGTCCGGGAGCAGCTGGATGAAGAAGCTGACCTGCGACCTCGTGCCCTACTACTTCAACCGGGCGACGGGCGAAGTGACGTGGAACACGCCCGACGAGCTGCGGTCGTCCGCGGACCGGGGCGACGGCGCGACGTGGGCCTGGCTCCCCGACGCCGCCGAGGGCTGGGTCGCCTGCCGGTCCCTGGGCGGCGGCGCCTACGAGACGGCGGAGGGCGCCGCGAGGACCCTGAAGCGAAACGAGAAGGCGCTGCCCCTCGACAAGCCGTCGCTCTCGCGCGTCCACGGCGACCTCGTGCTCCTCGACTCCCTCGACGAGGGCCTCATGCTGCACAATCTGCGCGTGCGCTTCCTGCGGGACGAGATCTACACGGGCGTCGGCGACATCGTCGTCGCGCTGAACCCCTTCAAGCGGCTGCCCCTCTACGGCTCCGAGGTCATCGACGCGTACAACAGGGCGGGCAACAAGCCCATGCCCGCGCACCCCTACAAGCTCGCCAAGGCCGCCGTCGGCGCGCTCGTCGAGGACGCGACGCGGAACCAGTCCATCCTCGTGAGCGGCGAGAGCGGCGCGGGCAAGACGGAGGCGACGAAGCAGTGCCTGTCGTTTTTAGCCGAGGTCGCGGGCTCGTCCGGCGACATCGAGCAGCGCGTCCTCGGCGCGAACCCGATCTTGGAGGCCTTCGGCAACGCAAAGACGACGCGCAACGACAACTCGAGCCGCTTCGGGCGCTTCTCCGAGCTGCAGCTCGACGCGCGGCTCCGCATCGCGGGAGCCAAGGTCACGAACTACCTCCTCGAGAAGTCGCGCGTCAAGGGCCAGTCCGACGACGAGCGCAACTACCACGCCTTCTACCAGCTCTGCGCGGCGCCCGTCGGCGCGCGGGACTACGGCGTCGGCGACGCGGGCTCCTACGGCTACCTGCGCAAGTGCCTCGAGGTCCGGGGCATCGACGACGGCGCGGACTTCGACGACGTCGCCGACGCCACGGCGAGCCTCGGCTTCGACGACGCGCAGCGGTCGACGGTCTGGGGCCTCGTCGCGGGCATCCTGAAGCTCGGCCAGGTGGGCTTCGCGGCGCTCGGCGGCATGTCCGACGGGTCCGCGGTCGACGGCGGCTCCGCGGCCGTCCTCGCCGAGGTCGCGGCGCACCTCGGCGTCGACGGCGCGGTCTTGGGCGACGCGCTGACGCACCGCACGCTGTCGATCCGGGGCCAGGACGACATGGCCGTGCCCCTGCGCGAGGCGCAGGCCCTCGAGAACCGCGACGCGCTGTCCAAGTACGCGTACGACCACCTCTTCGACTGGCTCGTGGGCCGCGTGAACGCGGCGCTCCGCGCGGCGGACGCGGGCGTCGCGTGCTTCATCGGCATCCTGGACATCTTCGGCTTCGAGATCTTCACCCTCAACTCCTTCGAGCAGCTCTGCATCAACTTCACGAACGAGAAGCTCCAGCAGCTCTTCAACGAGCACACGTTCAAGACGGAGGCCGCGACGTACGAGCGCGAGGGCGTGCCGTTCCCGCCGATCGACTTCGTCGACAACCAGCCCATCTGCGATTTGATCGAAAAGCGCGGGGGCATCCTCACGCTGCTCGACGACACGGTCAAGGGCCCGGGCAAGCCGGAGCAGAAGGACGCGAAATTCTCGCAGAACCTGGACCAGGCCTGCCGCGCGAACGCGTTCTTCGTGCCCGCGAACGACCACCGCGGCGTGCGGGGCGCCGTCTTCTCCGTGAGGCACTACGCGGGCACGGTCTGCTACAGCTGCGACGGCTTCGTGGAGAAGAACGCGGACACGCTCTACAAGGACTTGTACGACTGCCTCTCCGCGAGCGGCAACGGCCTCATCGCGGCCATGTTCCCGCCGCTCCCGAAGGAGGTCACGAAGCGCGCGACCCTGGGCGGCGCGTTCCGCAAGCAGCTCTCGGCGCTCATGGAGACGCTGCGGTCGACGGACCCGCACTACATCCGCTGCGTGAAGCCGAACCAGCCCAAGCGCGCGCGGCTCTTCGAGGGCGCCGCGGTGCTCGAGCAGCTGCGGTGCGCGGGCGTCTTCGAGGCGACGGCGATCCGCAAGCAGGGCTACCCGTTCCGCTTCGAGTACGCGCGCTTCGTCGTGCGCTACAAGAGCATCATGTCCACAGGCGCGGGCTGGGTCCCCTTTGCATCGACGGACGACCGGCAACGGTGCGAGGAGATTTTAGCGGCGACGAAGCAAAAGTTCCCGGGGTTGCAGCGGGGCAAGACCATGCTGCTCTTCCGCGCGGACGAGTACCGCGTGCTCGAGCTCTGCCGCGCGCTCGCCGCGGACCGCGTGTCCGCGAAGATCCAGGCCAAGGCGCGCGGCGCTTTGACGCGGCGCTACGTCGAGAAGGTCAAGGTCGTGCGGCCGACGCTGCGGCGCGCGCTCGCCGCCGGGGACCTCGAGAGCCTCGAGGCCGCGCTGCGGGCCACGGACGAGGCGCTGGGCGTCTTCGCGCAGTTCGAGGTCTCAGTGCCCATCGCCGAGTGGGCCGCGTGCAAGGAGAAGGTGCTGATCATCAAGGAGGCCGCGCGGCTCGCGCTCCTGCTGGAGCACGCCTGCGAGCCCGACGACGAGACCCTGCTCGAGGACGACGCGGCGCTGTCCGCGCTCATGCGCGTCTTGGACGTCGACTGCGCCGAGCTCGCCGCGAAGGGCCCGTGCGTCGAGCCGACGTTCGACCAGTGGCACACCTACGCGACGCAGCGCTTCCACGAGCGCCGCGAGGCGAAGCTCGGGCCCAAGTTCGCCACGGTGTTACAGACCCTCGAGCGCGACGACATGGCGGAGCTCTACGCGTCGGCGAAGCAGTTCGGCTACGAGCACGCGGGCTTGGCGGAGATCGAAAGTTTGCTCGGCGCGTCCGAGGAGCAACTACTCAAACGCCAGTACGCGCGCGCGCACCAGAACGGCGACGCGGGCCGCGCCATGGGCAAGGAGATCGCTTTAAAAGAGCTCTATCTGGACAACTACGCGGCGCTCTTCACCTTCGAGAAGTTCGCTCTACTCCGCGATCCCGACGAGTACGCGGCCGCGGGCGGGTTCCTCGCGGGCCACCGCAAGGAGAAGGCGGACACGATGCTGACCTACTCGACGCACAAGCTGCTGACATCGCTCACGGCGCTGGACCCGAAGCTCAAGAAGGACGCGCTCCGCGCGAATCGCAACATCATGGGCTTCATGGGCGAGAAGCAGGGCAGGACAAGGGTGATTCAACGTCGCTTCAACGTGAGTGTTCAGCGCGCGCGCGTTCTGGAAAAAGCATCCACGCTTCGAGACCGTTCCGAGAGATGATCGCTCGTCCAAAAATCAGCCGAAACGAGTGGAAACCGGCCGAGAAATGAGCCTTTGAAGTTGGGAATTTCGCACTCTTGTCCTGCCCAGGCGAGAAGCGGTCCTACGCGTCCGCGGACCTGTGCGTCGACGTCGTCGCCGCGGGTCTGGCGTCGCCGGAGCTGCGCATGGAGATTCTCTGCCAGCTCATGAAGCAGCTCAACGGCAACGGTAATTCGGAGTCGGCGCACAAGGGCTGGACGCTCGCGTTGATGTGCGTCCTGTACTGGCCCGCGGAGCCCCAGCTCGAGAACTACCTCCACATCTTCGTGCGCGACCACGCGCCGGACGACCTCAAGGCCATCCTCACGCGGCAGATCCACGCCATCGCCTACGCGGACGCGCTCGCGCCGGAGCCCCCGACGCTCGACGAGCTCCAGGCCAAGTACGAGGCCGCGGTCCACTGCCGGGACTCGCGCCGCCGCTCCTTCCGGACCAACTCCATGAACCGCTAGGTGGGGAATTCCGTTAATCGACGGGCTCAAACTCCGAGTCCACGGCGTAGGATTTCGCGGCGGCCGCGAAGGCCGGCGACGTCGGGGTCGCGCGATGCGCCGCGAGCCGCTCGTGCGCGTCCGCCGCGGACCGGGCCGCGATGAGCTCGTCGAGCTGCTGCTTGTAGATCTGCATGGGCGACAGCCGCATGTACGCGGGATCTTTCGCCTTCGCGACGTCCGCCGGGTCGGGATCCGGCGGGAAAGCGGGTTGGCCGAAGTGAAAAATACCAAAAGCACCGGGCATGTTGACCTCGCCCTCGCCCGGGTCCGCCTCGATGCCGTCGACCTTGGTGAACTCGCCCGTCTCCGAGAGGCCGAACATCTTCAGGATGTCGCGCGAGTCCCGGGCGCCGTAGATGCCGGCGACGCGCGCCCGCTCCTGCTCGCGGAACTTGGCCGATTCCTCGAGGGTGTGGTTGTTCACGATGGCGTTGTTGAAGCTCTTGCTGACGAGGCGCAGGCCGAGGAGCTCCTCCGTCTGCTTCAGGCGGCCCACCTCCTCGTGCGGCAGGTAGCCGCCGGGCCGCTCGAAGAGCTTCGCCGTCTCCGGGGGAATGGGGCAGCAGTGCACGGATTTCTCGTAGTGGTCCCTGACCATGGCGAGCTCGGGCTCCGGCTCGGGCTCCACGGCGTCGCGGCGCAGCGCGCGCAGCATCGCGCCCGCACCGCCATCATCATCCATGGTGCTCATCGGGCTGCCCTAGTTCAATAACTGATGTTTACCCTCGTGGAGAGACGATGGAGAGAATCTGATGATGATGCCTCGCTCTGTGCTCGGTGAAAAGTTTCGCTGGTGACCAGATGCCTCGCTACGTGCTGCGCTATGATGCGCGCGAGTTCCACGCGCGCCTGCCGCGCCGCGCGGCGCCGAGATTCCTCGTGCGACTCCTCGCGGAGCGGCTGCGACGGAGCGTGTCGTCGCTGGCGTGGGAGGACGCCGCGCCCGGCGCCGACGACGACACGCTCGTCGTCGCCGTGCGCGACGCCGTGCGCCTCGAGCTGCCGGAGGGCTCGCCGCTCGCGCCGGGCACCGCGAAGCACGGGTCCTTCTTTTTGCCGTACGAGAACGCGGCGGCCGCCGCCGAGGTCGTCGCGGAGGTCGGCGAAGCGGGCGCGCGCGTGCCAAGGCCAGCGCCCGCGGCGGCGCAGAAGGCGTCGCCGGCGCAAGCGCACACGCCAGCGCCAGCGCAAAAAGTAGCGCCCGCGGCGACGCGGAAGGCGTCGCCGGCGCCGGCGCGAAAGCCAGCGCCGTCCCCAGCGCCGCCGCCAGCGCCGCCGCCAGCGCACACGCCGGCGCCGTCCCCGGCGCCGTCCCCGGCGGCGCCGCCGCGAGCGCCGCGGCGGAAGCACACCTCGGAGCTCGCCCGGCGCGCGGGCGTGCCGTCGTCGCCGCGGGACCTCTGGCTCCCGCCGCCGCTCCGGGGCCTCGAGGTCGCCGGCGCGGCGCCGCCGCCGGCGCGGCCGCGCGTCGTCGAGGCCGACTTCTTCGACCGGGCGTCGGCGGAGCGCGAGGCCCGGGGCGCGTCGACGTGCCTCTGCGAAGCGGACGGCGGCTTCGTCGACTGCAGGGGCTTCCGCGACAACGTGCCGACCTTCGAGGACCTGCTGCGCGGTGACGTCGGCGGCGGCCCGCACTACTGGTGGCAGCGCGTCTGCGGCAACTGCGGCCGCGCCTACGGGTGCCACGTGCGCGAGGTGCCCCTGTGCGCGACCGCGGCCGCGCCGCGGGGCCCCCGGGTCCTCGCGATCTTCCACGAGTCCTGCGCGGCGCGCGCGTGGGTCGACCTCGACGACGAGGGCGACGCGGCGGCCGGCGCCTTCGCGGGCGACTGCAACGGCGCGCACCTCGCGTCCTGGGCCCTCCTCCGGCACCTCGCGTCGACGGCGCGGCTGACCCTGCTCTGCCTCGGCGGCGACCGCGCGGGCGGCGGCGCCCCCTGCGAGCCCCGCGTCGCGCTCGTCGACGCGGCCGAGCGCGGCGGCGCGCGGCGCGTGCTCCGCGCGCTCCGCTGCTCGCCCGCCGCGGCCGCGCGCGCCGTCGGCGCCTGGGCCGGCGCCTTCGACGCGGCCCTGGCGCTGGACTGCTCGCGCGACGTCGCGACGGTCGCGGCGGGCTGCGACTGCCGCGCCTTCGCGGCGCTCCACACGTACTCGGAGTGGCCCTCAGGGCAGGACAAGAGAGCGAAATTCCTAACTTCAAAGCCTCATATCTCGGCCGTTTTCCACTCGTTTTGGCTGATTTTTGGACGAGCGATCATCTCTTGGAACGGTCTCGAAGCGTGGATGCTTTTTCCGGGACGCGCGCGCGCGGAACACTCACGTTGAAGCGACGTTGAATCACCCTTGTCCTGCCCAGGTGGCCCTACGGCCCCTTCTACGCCGCGTTCGACCGCCCGAAGCACCGCGACGCGCTCGAGGCCCTCGACGGCGTGCTCTGCCCGAGCGAGGCGCTCGCGGCCTACGTCGCCGAGACGTCCGGCGTCGCGGGCGTCTTCGCGCCCGACGCGTCCTACGGCTACTTCGAGTCCGCGCCGCCGCCGCCGCCGCCGCGGCCGCGGCGGCCGCCCTTCGACGTGCTCTGCGTGAGCCCCGCGGGGCCCAAGGGCCTGGCCCTGCTCCTCGCCGTCGCCGAGGCGCTCCCGGACGTGTCCTTTGCCTGCGTGTCCACGCGCTGGACGTCCGCGTCCGCGGCGTTCGCCGTCGCGGCGCTCGACAACGCGCGGCTCCTCGACGCGACGCGGGACCGCGGCGCGCTCTACGGCCTCGCGCGCGTGCTCTTCGTGCCGAGCCTGTGGCCCGAGGCCTTTGGGATCGTCGCCGCGGAGGCGGGGCTCCACGGCGTGCCCTGCGTGTCGACGGCGTCCGGCGGGCTGCCCGAGGCGAACCCCTGCGCGAGCTTGTGCGTCGAGGCGGACCTCGTCTACGACTGCCTGCGCTCGGAGCTGCGCCACGGCGCGACGCTCGCCACGGAGCGCGCGGCCTGGCGCCACGTCGAGGCGGACTGGGCCGACGTCAACGACGTCGAGCCCTCGAAGCCGCCGCCGGGCTGGGTCTGGCGCGACAACCCGGCGCGGCCCGGCACGCCCCACGACTACGACGTCGGGGCGACGCTCTTCGCCGCGGCGACGGCGGGCACGGTCAGGGACGGCAAGGTCGCGGGCGCCATGCTCGGGCTCGCGCACGCGCGGCGCACGCGCGGCGAGCTCTCTCCGGACGAGGCCGCCGTCGAGGCGCGGCTCGCCGCGTACCTCGACCCCTGCTTCCTCGACGCCCTCGGCCTCGGCGTCGCCGACGCGTCGAAGCTCTTCGCCAAGGCGACGCCGGACGAGGCCGCGCCCTTCGCGCGGAAGATCGGCCGGCTCCTCGACGACGCGGCGTTCTACGACGCCGCCGCCGCCGAGGCCGCGGCGACCGCGCGCGCGCGCGTCGACGCCCACGCGGGCACGCTCCTCGAGCGGATCCTGCCCGATTCGAAGTGACATTTAGCTCGCTAGACGACCCAGTCGAGGGCGCTGAGGATCTCTGCTGTGAGCTCGATTGGTTTGGTGTCCTCGGTGTCAGTAAAATCGAGGTAATAGGTGCCATTGGTATCGTCTTCGACCTCACATAAGTCAAAGCCGGTGTAAGAATGGCTTTCAAAGACAAGCATCAGGTCGCCCGGGTGATAGTCTGCTAGATTACCCACGTGAAATTCACCTGCTGGGTGGCCTCGTCTTGCCACCAGCTCGTCCGACCATCTCACCGATACCCTGAAATTCAGTTCTTCGAATTTATTCCCAGCGTATGCTCTTTGCGGAAAGGTGAAATCGCCACCGTTGCCGAGTCCTCGAACAGCTTCATAAGCCTGCCGTCGTGCAAACGATCTTTCAGCATGGCGTGGCAAGGCAATTCCAGCCCAATTGATTGGGTATAATTCATCGTCGGGACTATCTGCACTCCAAGCAGATAGCTCGATGCGGACCACAGCACCGTCACGCACGCGCACGAGCGTCAAGAATATACGGCTGTCGGCTCCAAAGTTCGTGTCGCAATCGACGCCGGTGGCGTACACCAGCTGGTCGCGTTTAATTCGTAACTCATCAAGAGGTAATTCCAAACTGCCATCGTGGAGGTCATCAAGCCGCACGGTACCCGAGCACAAGATGTCATCCGAGTCGGTCCCGCTGCCGCCGCGCTTGAGTTCCACATGTACCAAGACGTCCGCCGGGGTAGTCGGCCGCCAAGCAGGCATATGCGCGAGGCGCGCGTAGAGCGCGCGCGGTCCGACGACCGGCTCCAACGCCGCGACGATGCCTGGCCACCGCCGCTGGAGCAACACCCGCCAAAGTACGGGCGCGCGCGCCGCCTCGTCTCGCCGGCCACACAGAGCCTGCGGAAGTCGAGAAAGCCACAGCATGAGACCAGAACGGCGTCCGGAAGGGCGCGCTCGGTGCGTCGGTGGGTTCGTGGCGCCTCGCCCGGCAGGGTCCGCCGAGGGCTGCTCTGCGCCTCCATGCTTTGTTTTTGAACTACTGCATCGTCGTTTCTTTCCTTCGTCTTGAAGCTCTCCAAAAACAGAGCAGTCTGGGGAGCCCATTTGCCAATGGCATCCAGCGTGGTCCTCATCACCTACGACGGACCGCCGGCGGTCACGCTCAAGCTCACGGTCAAGGGCAAGTGGCTCGAGCGGCCGCGCGCGCCGGCGTCCGCGCTGGAACGGACGCCCACAGCGCCAAAACCTCCAGGTGCGAGCGCAGCCTCTACGAGCCCTTCGAGAGCCACCTCGCGAAGCAGAAGGGCCTGCGGCTCCGCGGCGTGCTGCACGGGTCCCAGGGCGCCGTGCCCCGCGACGCGGCGACGGGGCCCTGGGTCGGCGGCGGCGCGAGGGTCGTCGTCCTCGAGTTCCGTCCCGAGCCGCGGAGCCCCCGGAGCCCGCGGAGCCCGCGGAGCCCGCGGAGCCCGCGGCCGACCCAGGAGACGCTGCGCGCCGCGCTCGCCGCGGCGCGGACCGCGCCGGCGGACTCGTACGACGCCGCGGGCGAGGCCGCGCGGCGCGAGGCGGCCGCCGTGCTCTGGGCGCCGCCGCCGGCGGCCGCGCGCGTCGACGGGTCGCTGCTCCAGCGCGCGCCCCGCGGCGCCTGGCCGCCGAAGTCGACGGCCCCGCCCGCCGACGACGCCGCGGCCTGGACGACGCCCGCCTTCGACGCGTCCGGGGGCGTCGCCGCGCTCGCGGCGGGCCCGCTCCGCGGCGCGCTCGGGCGGCGCGAGGCCGCGGTGTTGCGGGGCGCCGCCGTCGTCGACGCGAAACTGCCGTGGTCGTCGAGCTTCCTGGCGGACACGGTCGGCCCGTCGCCCGTCGTCGTGCTCCAGGCGACGGCCGAGGACCGCTACCTGCATTACGTCGAGCGCTTCGCGGACCGCGACGCCGCGGCCTTCGACACGCGCGACCGCGCCACCGTCGAGCACCGCATGCCCTTCCTCGACTACGCGCGCGTGCGCCACGGGGCGGCGAACTGCTACCTGCAGACGCCGCTCGTCGTCGCGACGGACGAGACCGACGCTTCCGTCGCCAGCGTCGAATTCGGCCGCGGCATGTGGTGGCACCCGGGCATCACGAAAAAACTCAAAGACGCCGTCGCCGGGGCCCGGGGCGCGCTCGAAGCGCTGGCGGCGCCGGCGCAGTTCGGGCGGCTCACGCGGTCGCAGCTCTTCGTGTCCGACCGAGGCGCGCGGTCGCCGCTCCACTTCGACCAGTACGACAACGTCTTCTGCCAGCTCAGGGGGCGCAAGCGGCTCTGGCTCGCGCCGCCGCGCCTCGCGAGGACGGCGCGGACCTACCCCGTGCACCACCCGCTCGACGCGTACGCGCGGAACGACGGCGACGCGGACCTCGCGAAGGTCCACGCCGTCGTCCTCGGGCCCGGCGACGCGCTCGTCATCCCGAGCCACTGGTGGCACGCGGTCCAGACCCTCGACGACGACTGCGTGTCGCTGAACTACTGGTTCTCCATCGCCGCGTGGATGCTGCCGCCGCCGGTGGCGCCGCTCTCCGGGGACCACCTCCTCTGCGAGCTGTCGCGGCAGGTCGAGTACCTCGCCGCGGACGTCCTCGGCGCCGACGCCGTCGGCGGCTTCCTGGCGCGCCTCGCCGCCGACCTCGCCGGCGGCGGGAGCGACGGCGGCGACCTCCCCGTGCGGAACTACGCGCTCCACCAGCTCGCCGCGCTGCTGGGCGCGGACCGCGTCGCCGACTTCTGCGCCACGTTCCTCCACCCGGACCGCGGCGCCGGGCTGCCGCTCCTCGAGACTCGTAAAAATTAGCGCGCGGCGGGCGCGTCGTCGCCCGCGTCCGCCTCGAGGTCGAGCGCGTCGTCCGCGGCGAGGCGCTCGGGGCAGTAGAGCCGCATCCACTGGCGCGTGACGTTGTCGAGGCCGATGTCCGTGTACGCGTACTGCCAGCCGATGATGCCGAGGTGGACGACCATGAGGCGGAAGTAGTGCGTGAACGACGGCGAGACGTAGTGCCACTTGCACGCGAGGTCCTGGAACCAGACCGACGCCTTCGGGGACGCGCCGCTCGCGTTGGGCTCGCCGCGGAAGAGCAGCGCGACCTGGGGGTAGGGGCGTCGCGCGCGGCGCGGCGCGACGATCGCTCTCCGCGCGAAATTCGCGTGCGTCCTCGGCGCCGGGCCGAAAAAACGGCCGGCGGGTAACGTGGCTCTCGTCACCGTGCCCGCGGCGGACCGGGGCACCTCGAGAAGGGGAATCCAGAGGGTGTCGTCATCGGACGGCGCGCGCGAATCGTAAGAACGACGCCGGAACGCGCCCGCCCGACGCGCGGGTAGTGCTCGATGCCGAAGGCCGCGAGGACCTGGCCCTCGCCCGGCCGCCCGTCGCCGTCGTCGTCGTCGCATTTCCGCAGCCCGCCCCGCAGCCCGTCGTCGTCGTCCGCGTCGAGGGGCAGCTGCAGCACGTCTCTGAGCCGGTGCAGCCGCATCGAGCCGACGGTGATGTTGCCGCGGTTCGTCATGTCGACGCGCCAGCTGAAGCGCAACCCATCAAAAGCCGCGAGGAAGGCCTTGAGGTCGCCGGGCAGCTTGTAGGGCGCGTTCGTCCGCTCCCAGGCGAAGACGTCCTCGGGCGTGCACCCCGTGCGGTTCTCGAAGGCGAGCTCGGAGACGCCGGCCTGCTCCTCGAGGTAGGACAGCAGGTGGAAGCTGAGCTCGTTGAAGAGCTCCGCCGTGCCCTCGGCCATGGCGGCCGGCCGCGCGGCGGCCGGCAATCGATTGCCTCTCGAAAGCCCTCATCAACATTGGTGGTTGACGCGCGAGTTGAACCGATGTTGCACCACCAGAACCTGATCCTCTATCTTCTCTTGTCTCGCGCTGGCCCATGCCAACACAGCCAACAACCCCAGACGCAGGACACAAGGCGCACTACGCTGACTCACGCGTGCGCGAGCGCTGCGTCTCGGCGGCGCGGCCGCGGCGCCGAGGAGGTGAGGTTCCGCCTCAGGTGCGGCCGCTGTTGCGCGTCGCGGGCGGCTTCGGTCCGCGACCCGCGCGCGCGCGCGCCGCCGGCCTTGGCCATCTCTTCGATCTCCCGTTTCCGGACGTCGCGCGCGGCCCGGAGGCGCGCGCGGCCGCGCGCGGCCCGCTTCGTCTCGTTCTGCGCGCGCGCGAGGCCCGTGCCGAAGAGCGACCCGCCGCCGACGAGGCCGATGAAGGCCGCGACGAGGAGCCAGGGGTTGCGCGCCATGAGCCGCGGCGGCGGCGCGGTCGGCGGCGGCGCCGGGCGACGGCCGCGGCGGCGGCGGCGCGGTCGGCGGCGGCGCCGGGCGACGGCCGCGGCGGCGGCGGCGGCGCGCGCCGACGCTGCGGCGCGGCGCGCGGAAGCGCTGGAGACCGCGGGCCGCGCGACGAGGCCTTGCGATGGCGCGCGCGCGCGGACTGCTGGTGGCGTCGATTGGAGAGCCGACAGTGGCGAAAATCACGGCGCGCCGATGTTTACCTCGATGTTTACCTCGACAGACGCCGTCTCTTGAGTCGGGGCGGCGTGGAGGAGGCAGCTTTAAGCTTTTCCGACGGTATGGAGAAGCTGTCCCTCGACGAGTTCGAGGAGATCGCCGCCGCGGCGCACGTCACGGCGAGCAAGACCGTCGTCTGCCCGCCGGATATCCACCGCTTCGAGGTCTACGGCTCGTCGGGCTGCCTCGAGACGGAGAAGGCGCGTCCCCGACCCTGCGCGGGGGCAGCCCCGCCGGGGGGGACCCGACCGCGCGCCGTGCCCCCCCCGCCGCGCGTCCCCGCGCGACGAAGACACCGACCCCCGGTCGACGCAGGTGCGCGCGGCCTTCTTCGCCAAGGGGCTGCCGTTCGTCGCCCGGGAGCTCGACGTGCCAGGCGGCGCGAACTTCGAGCCCGCGTACGTGCGCCTGCGGCTGCTGGGTGTCGGGCTGCGCACGCCCTACGACGCGCCGGGCTGGGACGGCTGCAAGTGGGACCCCTTCGGGGTGACGACGCTCGTGGACCGGGAGAAGCGGGTGGTGGTGGTCAACGGGGCAGGACAAGAGAGCGAAATTCCCAACTTCAAAGGCTCATATCTCGGCCGTTTTCCGCTCGTTTCGGCTGATCTTTGGACGAGCGATCATCTCTCGGAACGGTCTCGACGCGTGGATGCTTTTTCCGGAACGCGCGCGCGCGGAACACTCACGTTGAAGCGACGTTGAATCACCCTTGTGCTGCCCAGGTCGTCAACGCGGCGGACATCGTCGAGTACATGGACGCGGAGTCGTGCAACGCGAGCGGCATGTACGTCGACGAGTACATGCTCAACGCGGGGAAGATGTCGCTCATCAGCGGCGCGCGGAGCGTCTGGGGCTGGCCCATCACGTGGCCCTTCGAGCGGCGGCATCTCGTGAAGAAGGCCGCGCGGCTCGTCGACGAGATGCCGCTGGAGGACCTCTGGTTCAGCGGCGACCGGCGGCCGGCCTACGCGAAGCGCTTCTTCCGGGCGGAGGCGTCCGGGGCGGCCCAGCTGGCGTTCCTGAGGAACCATCTGGACGGCGGCGCGCTGCCGGATTTGCTGAAACCGCACTACGAGCGCAAGCTCGAGCGGACGGCGGCCTACTGGGCCGACCGGAAGCACGACGGCCCGGCCTTCGCGCGCGCCGTCGAGGCGACGCGGCGCCTCATCCGCGACCTCGACGAGGACCTCGTCAAGTTCAAGGTCGGCAAGAAGTCCGACGACGGCGGCGACGCCGACGCGCCGCAGGGCGTCGGCGAGTGGCTCGGCGGCGACAAGCTGAGCGTCGGCGACTGCTACTGGCACGTCGCCGCCGCGCGGCTCGTGGGGCTCGGCCTCGGCCACATGCTCGACCGCTACCCGCGCGCGGGCGCGTACGCGAACCGCGTGCTCCGCCACCCCGAGCTCCGCAAGGCGACCTACCTCTGGGCCGGCGCCGACGACTTCCCGCTGCCGCTGCTCGGGCCCGTCGTCCGCGAGGTCGGGGGCCGCGTCGCCCACGAGCGCCACGCGGTCCGCGTGCTCCGCGCGGCGCCGGCGCGGGACCGCGGGGGTGGATTCGACGTCGCGTCCGCGCGCGCGCGTCTCTGGGACGCGCGTCCGCGCGTCGAGAGCGCGACGGTCGCTCGTCGAACCATCGGCCGAAGCGACGACGGCCGAGCGCGGCGCCTCCGGGACGTTCGCGCCCGCGCGTCCCGCCCAGGCGCGACGTACCGCCGCGCGTCGCGCGCGGACGCGGCGCGCGCCGCGGCGTCCTACGCGGCGCGGGGGTCCGCCGGCACGGCGCTCCTCGGGTTCCTGCTCCTGTTCCTCTACGTGCTCGCCGCCCAGGTCGGCCGTTTTTTAGATTTCGGGTCCGGGGGCCTCACCAGCGCCCCGGGTGAAGGCCCGACCCCGGTGGGCGACGCCGCGGGCGCGCCGGCGGAGCGGCCCGCGGTCTGCGACGACCCGGACCGGGCCGTCGCCTCGAACCAGTGCGCCAACGTCCACGCCGTCGACGCGCGGAAGAAGAACGCGACCGCGCCGAAGCCGCCCGAGGCCGCGGCGGCCGCGCCCAACGCGAGCCTCGCGCCGGCGACGGCGTCCGTCCTCCTCGGCAAGGCGCCCTAGGGGGCCGCGCCGACGGGCGCCCCGCGGGCCGGGGGCGCCGGCGGGCGGCGGGCCTAAGCCCCTCGCCCTTGTCGCGAAGGCCGACAGCGCGCGCTAGCTACCCCCGAGTCGACGCACGAGCGACGGTTTCGAAGTGCACGATGCAGTGCTCCGCGCGCGCAGAAATCGTCCTACCCTGGGCTGCCTCCGATGGGCGTCCTTCGGCCCGCCGCCGTGGGCGCGGCGCTCTGCGGCGTGCTCTACGGGGGGCTCGAGCGGGCGGGCTGGGCCCAGGTCGTGCGCATCCCCTTCACGACGCCGAGCACGGCGACGATGCTCCACTTCTTCGACCGCCAGGTCAACATCGACAACGACGCCTTCATCGAGCGCTGGCGGGGCGCCGAGCGACCCGTGAACGCGCCGGGGCTGCTCATCACCGTCGACGCGGACCACGCGCTGCCTGCGGACGCGACCTGCTTCGCGAAGCGCGACTGCGTCGTGCTCTGGAAGGGCTTCGTGCCTCCGGAGATCGTCGAGAACCTCACGCGGATCGAGCCGCGCATGTTCAAGGACTCGAACTACTCCTTCATGCGCATCGGCGGCGCCGAGGTCAAGGGCGACCGGGTCTTCCGCAGCTTCGCGACCCACGGCATGCGCGAGGGCATGCGGCGGATGATCGCGGGCGAGAACATCCAGCTCGGCTTCGACGTGAAGATGGCCGACGAGAACCCCTGGCTCAAGAACATCGGCCTCGAGCTCCTGGCCAAGGTCAACGCCTTCGACTCGTCCGTCATGTACCTGGCCCAGAGCTTCCTCTACCACGGGAACCAGCAGCAGGCGAACCTGCACAACGACCCGCTCTCGGGGTTCAGCATCCAGCTCGCGAACTCGAAGCTCTGGCGCTTCGTGAACCCGCGCCACACGCCGCGCGTGCGGCCCTTCCGCGGCGACAACCCGGGCGTCTTCTACAGCGACCTCTGCTTCCTCGAGAACGGCACGATCCCGTTCCTCGAGGTGCTCGTGGAGCCGGGCGACATGATCTTCTTCCCCGAGCACTGGTGGCACGAGGTCCACCCCGTCGAACGGACGGGCTTCGGCATGACCGTCGCCTACCGCGAGCTCGGCTTCTCGAAGCTCCTCGGGCCCTCGGCCTTCCTCTCGTCCCTCCCCATCTTCCTCCACAAGGTCGCCGCGCTCACGGACATGATCGTCAACAAGCGCGCCGCCGACGCGCCCGAGAACCTCTGAATAGAATGTCGCCCGCGCCTTTACTTCGGGCCCGGCGGCGGCGCGCGCGCGCGCGCGCCGCCGCCGCGCCGTCACGCGCGCGGGCGGGTCACGGCGACCGCGGCCGTGAAGGTCACGTGGTCCTTCAAATTCTCCCGGCCGGCGACGGGCTCCGGGTAGCACCACGCGGCGTCTTTGACGCCGCCGACGTGATACCACACCTGCTCGCCGCGCGCTCACCGCCACCTTTTCCGCGATGGTTCGAAGGCGTCGAGGTCCAGCGCGTCGAGCGGAAAATAACAGCGGTTGTTGGCCACCTCGCACCGCGCAGCGCGCGCGACGACGAGCCCGCCGACGCGCGCCTCGAAGGCGCCGGCCGACGGCGGGCCGCTGGGGCAGCTCGCCGCCTTGCGGAGCGCCACGGGGTCCGGCGCGTGCGCGGCCTTCCGTCGCTGCCACTCCGCGACGGACATAGTATACTTGTACTGCGGAACGGGCTCCGGCCTCGGCCGGAGCATCACGCCTCAGTCGTGGCAGCCCGCTTTCTACATCATGAGTACTCTCTCTAGCGCATTAGGCGACACACCCCGCCTACGCGCCTACCTTGGGCAGGCGCGGGCACTGGGGGGCCCACTAAAGCCGCACCGGAGTACTAGTAAGTTGCACATGTGCTCCGCGGCGACGGCGCCAACTTCGACCGCCTCTTCGTCTAGCGGGGGGGTAAGGTGTTAAGGGGCGTGCGCGTGCAGGACTGCGCTGCCACTTGCCGAGGCCTTGCCTCAGAGGCTTGGCGTTCCCTCGGCTGCGTGATTTGTGAACGGTCACGTCATGGTCGAGGCAGCGGCGCTCGGGGGTCTAGCCGGCGTTCACGACGAACAGTTTGTGAAGCATCACGCACACACGCACACCTCCCTCCACCCCAGGCGGCCGGCGGAGCGCGCGTCGCGCGAGGCGCCCGCAGTAGGCACCTTCGAGACCGAGTCACCGCAACCCGCGCTCGACCTCGACCCCCCCACCCCGCCCCCCCCACCGCTCGCAGTTAGAGCCCGTGCGAATGTTGAGGCACCGCGCCGAGTCGCTCGGGTACGGTGTCGTAAGCACGCACGAGAGGCTGTGTCGCGAGGAACAGCTTTATGCTCGAGCTGCCTGCTTCAACTCGGCGGCTCCTCAGCAGCTCCTTGGCGGCAGCCTTCGACGCCAGACCCGCGCGGCGACGAGTACCGACGGCGGCGGCGCCGCGCGCCCGCCTCGCGTCCGTCTGGGCCGCACCCTCGTCGGCGTCCCGTCTTTTTACATGCCCCGACTCTGGTTCGTAGCCGAGCTTAAAGGTCGACCTCGCCGCAGACGAAGGCGCAGCCGCGCAGGACCCAGTGGTCCGCGGGCCCGTTGGAGAGCACGCGGAGCGTCGCGACGAAGTCGTCGCGGACGCGCGTGCGGTAGACGGGCGCGTCGAAGTGGGGCCGCGCCTCGAAGTTCGGCGGCGGGCCGCTGGGCGCGCCCGGGCTCGTCGACTCGCCGACGCTCGCGGGCACGCGGCTCGGCGCCTCGCGGCTGCTCGCGTCCGCGACCGGCGGGGCCTTGCCGCCGCCCAGGACGTTGTAGACGCGCTCGTCCGTCGCGCTCAGCCGCACGGCGCCGCCGTAGGAGTTCGGCGGCTTCTCCGCGGTCGACTCGTCGCCGGACCCGTCGCCGTCGCTCGGCGGCTCGCGGTCGTCGGACGGCGCGAGCGCGTCCGCGAAGTCGTCGTCGTCGTCCGTCGCGGGCCGCACCTGGGCAGGACAAGAGAGATTCAACGTCGCTTCAACGTGAGTGTTCCGCGCGCGCGCGTCACGAGAAAAACATCCACGCTTCGAAACCGTTCCGAGAGATGATCGCTCGTCCAAAAATCAGCCGAAACGAGTGGAAACCGGCCGAGAAAGGAGCCTTTGAAGTTGGGAATGTCGCTCTCTTGTCCTGCCCTGGGCCGCACCCACAGGCACGCGTGGACGTGGCGCCCGCCGTCGCGGCCGCCCGCGTAGGGGTTCGCGTCGTCGTCCAGATAACCGCCGTCGTCGAAGCGCCCGCCCTCGACGCGGAGCCCGTGGACGTAGGCGCCGCGGTCCGGCGGCGCGCGCACCGCGGACGCCGGGAACGGCAGCACGGAGCACGCGAAGGGCTCCGTCGACGGCGGGCCGTCGACGCGCGCGCGCCGCAGCGCCGCGAAGAACGCGCCCGGGCGGAACAGGCCCGGGAGCCAGACGGACGGCGGCAGGCCCCCCGGCGGCCAGTGCTTGAGCTGGCCGTGGCGCCGCGCGACGTGGCCGAGCCTGGGCGGCACGAGCGTGATTCAACGTCGCTTCAACGTGGGTGTTCCGCGCGCGCGCGTTACGAAGAAAACATCCACGCTTCGAGACCGTTCCGAGAGATGATCGCTCGTCCAAGAATCAGCCGAAACGAGTGGAAAGTGGCCGAAATCGGAGCCTTTGAAGTTGGGAATGTCGCTCTCTTGTGCTGCCCTGGGCCGAGCCACGGCGCGAGCCGCGGCGGCTTCGCCGCGTCGAGGCGCGCGAGCTCGTCGAAGACGGAGTGGGCGTCGCGCGCGCCGGCCGGGGGCGCGACGAGGCCCGTGAGCTCGGCCCACGCCGCGGGCACGTCGCCCCGCTCCAGGCTCCGGAGCGACGCGCCGACGGGGTCCAACGTGTCGCGGATCTTCGACGCGTCGGTCCGCGCGGCGTCGAGCGCGTCGGCCATGGCCTCGGCGAGCTTGGCGAAGCAGGCCATCTCCCGCGTGCGCACGGCGTCCCAGCCCCGCCAGTGCCGCGCGTCCGCGTGCGCCTCGACGGCCGCGGCCCACCGCCTCTCGAGCGCCTGTGTGGAAATCAAATCTTCAACCCGACTTCAATGTGCGCGTAATCGAACCATTTGGACCATACTCTTCGGCGTTGCTTCGAGAACTCGACGAGAGCAATCGATTCGTCCAAAAATCAGCCGAATCGACTTCGATGTGACCGAGCTAGAGAATTTCAAAGTTTGGTCGGGACGTCCCAAACCAGTGGTTGGTTTCCACACAGTCGAGCGCGTGGTCGCCGACGTCGCGGAGCGTCGCCGCGACGGCCGCGAGCGCGTCGTCCAGGGCGCCCGACGTCGCCGACGGCGCCGCCACGGCGGCCTGGGCCTCGAAGCGCACGACGCGGCCCAGCAGCGCGTCGCACTCGGCCGCGCGCGCGGACGCGGCGACGTGGGGAGACACGCCCACGAGCTCCGCGTCCTCGCCCTCCGGCAGATTGTGGATCCAGTCCCGCACGTCCGCGCGTCGGGCGACCGGCCCCAGACGCCCGCGATGGCCAGGTGCAGCCCGTTCGGCGACGTCGTGAGCAGCGACCTGGGCAGGACAAGAGTGCGAAATTCCCGACTTCAAAGGCTCCTCTCTCGGCCGTTTTCCACTCGTTTCGGCTGATTCTTGGACGAGCGATCATCTCTCGGAACGGTCTCGAAGCGTGGATGCTTTTTCCGGAACGCGCGCGCGCGGAACGCNTCACGTTGAAGCGACGTTGGATCACCCTTGTCCTGCCCCGGCAGCGACACGTCCTCGCAGTCGCTGTCGTCCTCGTCGGACTGCCACTCCGACGCGTGGGACGCGGCGGACGCCTTGGCCGTCCCCGCGGTCCTGCCGTCCTCCTCGTCGCCCTCGCTGTCCGTGGGCTCGTACTGGGGGAAGGGGTTCGCGCGCTCCTTCTTCTTCTTGATCGCCGCCGCGCGGTCGTACGTCTCCTCGTCGAGCACGTCCGGGTCGCTCAGCGCGCTCTTCTTCTCGCCGGGCCCGAACTGCAGGTCCGGGTCAGGCAGCTCCTCGATGAGGCCCACGCCGCCGCGCCGCTTCCGCAGCTTCCGCGCCTTCCGGTCCGCGACCAACAGCGCGCGCTTCGCGAGCACCTCGAGCGTCCGCGCGTCCGCGAGCTCCGCCGCGAGCTCCGGCGCGGCGATGCTGTCGTAGGACTTGACGGCGTAGAGCGGGAAGCCCGGCTCCGCGAGGCGCGCGCGCGTCTGGGGCGTCTGCGGCAGCCGCAGGCCCACGCCCAGGCTCCAGGCCATCGCGTTGAGCCGCCGGTCCACGGCCGCGCGGCCCTCGGGCGTGCCGTCGCCGGCCATGCAGGACGCGCCGGGCTGGGGCCTCACCGAAAACGTCGCCCAGTGGCACCAGGCCGCGCTGCCGGGCGTCGTCCGCCCGACGACGCCCAGAGCTCCGAAGTCGCGCCGCGTCCTCACGAGCGCGTGGAGCAGCACCTGGGCGTAGTAGAGCCGCTGGTGCTCGTCGCTGAGCCGCGCGTAGAGGCGCGCGGAAGACTGGGAGCCGCCGCCGTCCCATAACGCGGCGACGAGGCGCGCCTTGACGCCCCGGGGAGGCTCGAAGGCGACGCGCGCGCCGCAGCGCCGCGCGAGGTCCCTCGGGCAGGGGAACGCGGGCGCGAGACCGCCGGCCCCGCGGCCGCTCCAGTCCGGGGGCACGACGACCTCGATCAGCACGCGGTGGTGGTCGTGGGGCGCCGGGCTGCTGTCGTCCTTCTTGCCCTCGTGCTGCGCCTCCGCGGCCTCCGCGGCTTCCCTCTTCCCCTTGCCCGCGGCGCGCTGCTCCGCGACGCGCTCCTCCTTGCGCACCTCCCGGTCCCGTCTCTGGATGTCGCAGGCGTCGAGCTGGGCTAGGAGCACGGGGAGCCAGCCGCCCGCGAGCTCGCCGTGGCGCACCAGGACCCACCGGCCCCACTGGCGCCCCTCGCTCACGGCCGTCGCCGCGGCGTCGTTCGCGTCGGCGGACCCCAGGCCCACCTCGGCGATGCGCGGCGGCGCCGACGCCTTGTAGGCGCCCTTGTTCTTCTCCGCCATGAACGTCTTCGCGGCCGCGGCGACGACGGGAAAGAGGCTGAAGACGTCGTCCTCCGCGTCCGCGGCCACGGTGACGAGCACGGGCTCCAGAGGCGCCGCCAGGAGGCACGCGGCCCCCAGCGCCACGGCCGCCGACGCCGCCGTGCCCGCCTGGCGGTCCG